TTCCTTCCTTCCTTCCATGGGGTTGGTGCTGTCATGGACTCTGAGCTTGGAAAAGTTACTATTTTTAATATAACAACTCCCCAGATCCGCCAGCTGAGGGGATTCTGTAGTTTAGAAAGGTAAAATTTCAGAGCTCTCTATGAGCTATGCTCAGATGTTTACCTATTTCATTGATATGTAGAGTAGTTCCTTTGTGTGTGTGTGTGTGTGTGAACAAATGCAATAAAAACATGTAGAACCACTCCTTTTTAGTAAAATAATTATTTTTTAAAAGTCCATTAAAACAAAGACCCACCCCCTCTTCCAAACATAACTCTACCATCACCATAAAAGCCTGCCTGATTTTCAAAGCACAGAAGCCAACATGTGGCAAAGCCCGGCACAAAGATCAGAAAACAGAAACAGGTGAAAAAGGTTACAAGGACCGAATTTTGGATCATCTCAGCTATTGTGGATTATTTCTGGATAACGGCGGCCCTTGGCCCAAAGCGCCCACGCCTGGAGTGCCCTTTATCGAAGCAAAGCAAAAAGTAAATGTCAACTTACCCGTGAAGGAAAGGGCCCACAGGAACCCCCAAATCACGGTCCGGCTGCCCATGACGACGTGGCTCTCTTAGAGGGACCGGCGCATCCTCCTCCTCGTTATGGCCAGGCTCAAGTCTTATTGGCAACAGCACCTGTCTGTCAGTGAGTCCACGAAACGGGTGCTGGGTTTGTTCGGGGGGGGGAATGTATAGGGTTACCACTGGCATGTCACAGCTGCTAGACATTTCCGGCCAGGCCACCTGTTGCAGAAAGACCGGCCTGAGCAGGCTCATAAAGCCTTCCTTGGCTGCTGCAGACCTTGGGAGGAAAGGAGGTGGAGGGCCAAACCGGGGTCGTTTCCCCTGCGGCTGGCTCAGAACCCATGGGTTCCAGGCTCCCTAGACGCAGAAGGAGAACATCGGGCCTCAAATCCCCTTCGGCAGCTGGAAGGGTGTCGATCAGAGCACGCCACGGGCGATCTACGGCCAGGGTGGAAGATGGGCAATGGAGTTACGGTGGATGGGAGTCCCAGAGGTGAACCACCAGGCGGGAAGGATACAGCCGTTGGCAGTGGTGCAAGGGTGGATGCTAGGATTCGCACACTGAAAAGCGAAGTTTAAATCCCTGCCACCTACAGGTCCCCCCGACCCATCTCAGAGGAAGAATCCTGTGTGAGGTGGCGGCTGGAAAGTTGCCTTGGGATGTGGGAGGTCGTTTTCTGTCTCCACGAAACCACAGTGAGAATCACACAGTTATTTCTCGCTCACTCTGTCTCCCAGGCGGACTCCTTCACAGTAGCACTACGTGGATCAAGTGCGTAAAAGGACGGGTCTTAGAAGCCCCCTTTGCACCCAGAAAGGCAGAAGAGCAATAGAATAGAAAAATGCAAAGCATTTGGTGGGGGAAAATGGATATCTCAGGGGGAAAGGGGTCCAGCCTGGATCCAGTGGCCTGAAACCTTCGTTGGAAGGGGTTAAAAAACGGGATCCAGGGTGGTGTTGGACGGAACGGGAAAAAAGTGGGCAAATAGAAGCCAGGGAAATGGGGGTGCTGGACTGCAGTGCCCCCCTCACTCCTGCCCCAGAGAGCAACACCCCGCACAGAGGACACACAAAGACACAGCTAGGTAGAATAATATAAAGTTTATTTCCAGAGTGCAGGGCGGAGGTGGGTGGACGGGCAAGGAGATTCTTGGCCCTTTGCACCAGATTGTTGGAGAAGAAGCCCAGTTATTGCTGAAAGGGGAGAAGGGCCGGAGGGAAGGGGGGGTTCATTTTCTCATGCAGGGTGAGCCAAGGAGAGCCGAAGGCAGAGGGGGGGTTTTTTCTCCTGCCACCCCTGCAGTTCTTATTGCTTTCTGTGCCGGAAAAAGGGGCACAAGAGGGAGGTTGAGAGGCAGAATCGAGAAGGACAGGCCCTGCGTCCCTCGGCGGAGGTCAAACCCCGGCCGTTTGCATGGCGAATGTACGTTGGGAGATCGAAAAGCGGGGCTCTTATAGAGGACCCGAACACAAGACGAGATGCCTTCAGACACGCCGACTCTCCACCAAGATGATGTTTGAACCTCCTGAGAAACTGGGGTCTTGTTGTGGCAAATTTGGCTGCAGGAGACCGGGGGGGCGGTGTTGTTTTGCAAAGGCTGCCTTGTTCAACTTGGACAATCCAAGATCCAGCCTTAATTTCTGGTGGTTTTGTTTTTATGTTTGGTCTTTTTAAAGAATGTAACCAGGCTCTTTGGCTGCAATTATAGTTTTGGATCTAAGGCAATTTGGGGGTTGTTTTTTCCCCCCTTAAGCTCCTTGTTTTTAAACATGTATATATTTGTTGGTTTGCTTCTTTATTTAAAACGTTATTGCCTCGTCTTTCTCCTTTAAAAGGGCCCCGGTTGGAATCAGAACCCGGAACGTTGCCGTTCAGCTGACCACTCCCATCATCCTCTGGCCGGCTGGAGGGTTTAGGGAGCCGGCAGTCCGAAAAAGGCACATTCCGAGGCTCCCGGTGAAACGCTCCAAAATTAATACTCAGAAGCAGGCCAGGATTTCCAGCGGTGGAGCCAGTGGGTTTTTTTAAACAAGGGGATCTGATTGAGAGAGAGAGAGCTATAGCATCAGCCACATGGGCTTCGGAGTTGGCAACACCATCAGGCACCTGCTCTGACAGGAGACGGGGCAAAAGCCCCCACCCATGAAAATAAAAGTGGAAACCTGTATGGGGGCCACCCCCAAATAAAGAGAAAGTTAATGCTTTCTACACCCCCCCAAAAGAGTCCAAGAGGTGTTGGGGTTCATTTTGCTAACACTCCCCAGTAGAACCAACCCCGGATTTCGAGGCTCTGCAAACTTTGGTGATCCAGACCAAAACTCTGGCTGTCCTCACTTAGTCTTAGCCCTGAAGAAATTGGTGTGTAGATTTTCATCCATAGACAATCACTGGGGGAGGCAAGAAGTGTGGTAGGAAGAAAAAAAAGGAAATAGACGGGGGGGGGACAGGTCCTGCGGGTGGCGGGTTATAACCCTCCTTTCATTCCCTCTTCCCTGCTCTTCAGGTTAGAGGGGAGGAGAGATAGGGAGTGATCTACAGGAAAGGACAGATTTTGGATATAAAGTACCCTCTGAAAGGAAGGAGGAGGACAAAGGGAAGAGAGAAAAGGCAAGGTTTGGGGACTTTGACACAGACCGGCATTTCCCCCCCCCCGAAAAAAAGAACACTCACAGCGTGCATAGGTGATTCAGCCTGCAAAGTCTGAATGTTGAACGTTTACCTAAACCTCACACCCCATTTTCTTTTTAAAAGGAAGAAGAGGGAAGGACTCTCTCTCTCTCTCTCTCTCTCTCTCTGTGTGTGTGTGTGTGTGTGTGTGTGTGTGGAGGCGTGCATGTGCACACCTGTTCCAGAAAAGAGACTAGCTTCATGAACCTGGAAAACAGAGCCTCCGAAAGCTCCTTCTTTCGGACTACGGTTCCAAGAATTCTGGGGCCTCTTACCAAAAATAAATAAATAAATAAATAATAGTAATAAGAAAAAAAGGATTCCCCACCCCCCACATAAAGGCTAACCCCGGCTCACTTAGAAATACAGTAGGACCTCTGAAGCTGTGGGGGATCGATTCCACCCCCACCCCCTGCAGATGCTGGAAAACGTGGATTACTGTACAGCAAATGCTATTTTAATAGCGAACACTGTCCATAGCATGATCTCTGTCTCTCTCTAGTGGCCAAAAAACAGCCAGAACGGATTAATTGGTTTTCAGTCCATTCCTATGGGAAATTTTGCTTCAACTTAAGAACGTTTCAACTTAAGAACACCATTCCAAAACGGATTAAGTTCTTAAGTAGAGGTTCCACTGTAGTTTCTATGGACGGAAAAGAGCAAATACGCATTGAATGGTTTTCAATGCATTCCTATGGGAAATGCAGATTCAACATAATAGTAATAATAAAAAAAGGATTCCCCACCCCCATATAAAGGCTAATCCCAGCTCACTTAGAAATACAGTAGGACCTCTGAAGCTGTGGGGGATCGATTCCACCCCCACCCCCTGCAGATGCTGGAAAACGTGGACTGCTGTGTACAGCAAATGCTATTTTAATAGCGAACACTGTCCATAGCATGATCTCTGTCTCTCTCTAGTGGCCAGGTCTGGTAACTTCACCTTTAGAAACATTTATTTCTGGGATTTTTCTTTTAATACAGTATTTTCAGACCATGGATAAGTGAATCAGCCGATATTGATCCTGCGGATATGAGGGGTCCTACTGTGCACCGAGGGGTTTATTATCTTTATACTCACTGGCTCTCCCCTGCCTCCTGGTGGACGGGGTGGAAATGGTTCCTCTATGGGTAATTTCTCACTGCTGTGTCTTTCCACCTTTGCTTAATCTTCATTAGAAAGGTGGTGTAATTCCTGAGCTCACACGAACCCTGTAGCCACTTGACCCAAGAGACGGGCGCAGAGTCTTGGCCTGGCTGTAGACTCACGAGGGGTGGGGGGGCGGCAGCGATTTTAGACACAAGGTTAGGGGCCGCGGTCGCCCGCGGGGGTGAGCTATGGCTCTCGGTAACGGCGCCGGTGCCAAGAGGAAGACGTGGATCGGAAGACACAATATTTCTGGATATGGCTCGTTTTCATGGCTGGCCTGACGCTCCATCCTTGGCTTTGATGAGCTCTCTCATCGAAATGGACACAAATCTCTCTTGCAAACTTGGCAGAACGGGTTGGACCGCGGTGAGGTAATTCTGGAGCTCCAAAGCAAACGTGGAAATCCCCCCCCAAAAAAAGAGAGGGGGTGTTTGGGGACCTGCTTGACGGAGAATCTTCCTCCTGCACTGGATGAGAGTCAGAGTTCATTGGAAGAGGGGTCGTTATCCAGAGGAGGGACCCCTGGGTTTTGGGGAAGCCGGGCAGTCCGGCCTAGGAGTTGTGGGGAAGTGGGAAATGTGCGGGCAAGTGGCTGAACGGAGGCTGGGGATTTGGGAAGAGGGGGGGGTGGGGCCTGGGAAAGAGGGGGGGGTGGGGTGGGGGAGAGTGGAAGGGATAAACCTGCAACCGGGAGGCAGGGCACATGGAGGGACAGGGCCTGGAAAAGTTCCTTTCTGGACCACAACCGGCAGAGATGGGCAAAGTTACTTTTGCAGAGCTCAGCTCCCAAAATCAAAGAACCAGTATCTCTCTCTGTCTGTCTATCTATCCGTCCAGGGGTGATCCCAGAAAGTAGCTTCCCCCATCTCTGACCACAGGCTGTCATTTTTTTTTTAAAAAAGGTAACTTTTCTAACCTCTGTGGCTTAGCTGGACAGTTGAGTCAGGGTAGCTGGACTTCTTTCGTACAAGGTGGAAACCTTTCACTTCTTAGATGAAACGAAGCTATTTGCACGAGTAGCAAAACGTTTCCACCCAACAAGAAAGAAGTCTAGTTGCCATGACTCAACTTCCAGATAGCCTCACCTGGATGACTGAGAATGTTCATGAACATTCCGTGGCTTAGCAAACAGGAAAAGAGAAGGGGAGAGAAATCTGTGTGAAGGACGAAGCCGTAAAGGGTCCCTGCGCTGGCTATTCGGAAGGCATACAGAAGGCAATACGAGAGACGGACATTATAAGACCCTCTTCCGAATCATCCCTGTCACCACCACCTGACATTTGCACCCTGGAATCATTGACCCGGCTCTCGGTAAGTATTCATCCACATCATACCCCCCGCAACCCCAACCCCAGAGTACAATTCCCTTTTCCCTCCCAAGCCACCCTTGAAAATATGTTTATTGCCTATTGAAACCCTGTAAAGATAGGAATACAGTATGGCCAATCTGGACACCTGGGATGCAGGGTGGGTGAGTGGGTAGGAACCAGAATGGCATGGAGGGCTGGGTGCAGTCTTCCGGAAGGCCCCCACCCCACCCCGATTGACTGGCTGTTTGTTTCCCAAAGTTCCACATGCAGGAGCAGCGAGACTTGCAAAATATTGAAAAGCCCCTGCATGCCCCCAGGGACTGCAATGACTGTGTTGCCACTCAGTGGCCAAATAAAAATATTGCATTGTCCTTCCGGGGAAGCAGTCACACCACGCATCAGTTACATACAGTATTCACAGCCTCTTTGAATGCAATGTTGCCATCCAGTGGCCAGAAAGGGTATTACACATTTGGGGGGCAATGTTCTCCTAGGAAGCTTAAAATATCTTCATTCCTGATAGGAAAATGTCGACTCCTGGTGGTTGAAAATGGTATTGCAGTCTTTTCTCTTTTTGCTGCAAGAGAGGTGGGAATCCAGTCACAAAATTTGAATCCTTAGCAACAGGAAACTCCTGCACTGGCATTGCAATTTATTTATTTTGGAAGGATTCAAAGGGCGAAGACAGCATAGTGTCCTTCCATTGGGCCAGAACTGACCTCTGGCGGAAGATCCCACCTTTTTTAGAAATCTGATTAGAATCAGGTTCATTATCAATGCAGTTAAGCTTATCCCCTCCGTCTGGATCAAGAGGAGAGAACAGCCTCAGCGACCTGAGCTGGTTAAAGCAACATCGGACTTGTTCCCTCTCCCCAAAGGAAATTCACACTCTTCATCGCTGCTGTTCCTCATAAATCCCAAAATCTCCAGAAAACTTGTCAAGAATCCACATTGGGAGAATGCTGCCATCTAGTGGGTGGAAACGGCACGCCATCGCCATTTCTTTAAAAAATTATTATGAAACGGAAGATCTTTTTATCCCTGTAGTTGGTGATACAGCGTCCCTCCCCCCCCTTTCCAACCTGCTTCTCCCTGATGTGGTGTGTGAGATCATGTTGTCGACACAGGAGAAAGTGCAAAGCACCGTAAATGCGCCATTTTGTTTGAACGGAAGACTGGAATAGGCCCTCTTTTAAAAAGGGCTAAGAATGATCCGAGAGACACAAGAATTCCTGCCCGATGGAGGGGTAAATCCCCCCCCCACAATGTATTTGTCACATTGTAGGAAATGGATGTCTGCCCCCCTGAAGCATCACAACATTGCCTTCCTCAGTGGCTGGACGCCACATGGTTTCCTATGGCTTGAAGTGAATGCCCGTGAGGGGTGTGTGTGTCATTTCTTCTCATCCAGAATTGGTTCAGTCAGTGGCCCAATGGCCTCTTCGCCTTTCTGGCCAGACTTTGCTGGGTGTCCCGTGTCCGAAGACGAAATGGGAAGAAACCCATCCTGAGGAGGGATTAAGGAAGGGTTGAAAATGAGCGTTTAGGGCACAGTTCAAAGAGTGGCCGTTGAAGGTGAGGTACGTGTGCCCCGAACTCGCACTAGGGAGGCAGGGGGTGGAGGAGACTGGAGGCACCCCCCTCCTCTTGGCTACGTCGCTTCCGCCTTGGAAATCTCTTTGACAGGGGGCGGTCCAGGCGCGCTGCCTTCATCGGCTTTCTTCGCCAGGGCCAGCTCCACCACGTTGTGTAAGGAAGGCTCACGATACAACGCCACTGTGGAGGTAGAAGAGAGAGAGAGAGAGAGAAAGGAGTGGAGGAATCAAAACCAACTAGCAGGGGGTCCCTGGTCTCACCCTACACCCAGCAGGTCCAGAATATGGACGCGATCCACCATGATGCATTCCTGAGTAAACCTGGGGGCAATGAGCAAGGGCCCACGACAAGGAATTCTGCGCAATTCCAAGAACTTTTTGTAGGAGAGGTTCGGGGGCGTGACAAATTTTTAGACAAGATGCCCCGGGGGGGTGAAGTGTAATGATTATATGCTGCACCATAGCGCTGAAGGCACTCTCTGGGTAGTTTACAAGTTAATTATGCAGGCTACACATGTTGCCTTCCCCACCCTCCAGGTACGCCATTTACCAACCTCAGAAGGCTGGAAGGCTGAGTGAACCTTGAGCCGGCTGCCTAGGATTGAACCCCAGGTCGTGGGCAGAGTGTTGGCTGCAGGGCTGCACTTTAACCGCTGCGCCACCAGGACAGCCAGTGCTTCTGCAATAATCAGGGCTTTGCAAGAGCAACAGCTTGCCTAGAGGAGGCTGTTGCATGAGAGGCGTCTGAAGAGTTTCATTTATTTATAATTTGCTTGCTTAAAACCTTTTCATCCTGCCTTTCTCTGGAACAAAGGCCCATGGTAGCTGGCCACTGCACCAGGGGTGACGGCATCTGAGGAACTACAGACAGGCTCAAGATGTTGCTGTTTTTTTTTCTTTTCTTTCCCCTCCTCTCTTCCTCACCTTCCAGCAGCTTTGGGAGGAAGTGGGCAGCAGCTTTAGTCTTCTTGACTCGGTTCCCCTTCATCACCTGCCCGTCTTTGTTGATGCCCAAGTACCACGACCGCCCGGATTCCCGTTGCCGGTAGAGGGTGGAGGAATACATGACGTAATAGTTCTCAAAGACGCACTCTTTGAAACGGCACTCGGTGGTGAAGTGAGCCTGCAGTGGAACACAATGGGCAGGGTCACGAGCATGAACCCCCGTGTCAGCTGGGGTGCGCGCGCACGTGTCTCAAACCCAGACCGAGGGCCAGAGCCAGTCCGGCCCTGTTCCACTTAAAACAGTCACGCCTACCACCGGAAAACAAAAACAAAATTACCTCCCCCCAAAAACTCAGCCCAAAATTATAGCGGAAGTTCAATTTCTAGGGGTTTCCTAAAGATCTTCGAAACAGTGTTTTTGAAAGCATCCGATTCCCAAGAACCTTTTACTTTAGCGCTACCCTAGTAAAGCAAAGCAGATAAAATTGTTCTAAATGTTTTTAAAGGATTAGGAGGGGCTTCTTTGAGAGTCTCTTCCTGAAATTTATTTACGGATTGATTTATATAAATATTTTTTTGCCTTTCTCTTTAAAAGGCTTTTGGTCCATGGTTTAGGCAGGGAAGCGCAAATGTTCCTTCTGGATCAGTCCTTGGACCCTTCTTGAAGAAAGATGGGAGATATATATATATAAATGTTTTTAAAATAAACACATTCTGCTTGGTCGACCTCTTCTCCAGCTTCTATGGGCTCTGCATGCCATAGCAGGTTTCTGCCACAGGGTGGCAGTGCTCAACCCCTGATGGACCCGCCGTCCAGGGCCGAGATCGCCCCAAAACCCAGGGGGTTCCTCCAGGATACCTGAGTCCTCATCCCAGAATCGTGAGGTGGGGAGAGCCAAAATATCCATAATGCTAATGAGAGCAAAATGTCCCCAGGAAGCCTCCTTCTCTCCCGCAGCCGCCTGGCTGCCAAATGTCTTTAAAGATATTTAACTGGCCTTAAAAAGGTCTCTCGAGTCCAGCCAGGAAGAGGCTGGGGCTGCATTGGGGGTGTCGGGCCCAGCGGCAGAGGGAGGAAATATCCTGCTCTCCCTAGAATCTGGAGGGCGGCGAAGGAAGGGGCAAAAGAGGTTCCCAGGAGGGAGCAAGCGCCGAAGGAAGAGTGCCTCTGTGCATGCTAAGAGTGCCAGTAAGCAGGGCAGGACTGACAGGGCGCACGCCGCTCGCATGGAGCCGCAGAAGGCTCCCCTGCTCCCACCCCAGACACCGGGACGCATCGTCCCCAGAAGCCGGCCAAGGTCTTCTGGCGCCGAAGGCAGACCCTCCGGCCAGCGGCTTATCCCGTCTCTGGCAGCAGCAGACCCTTCCCGGGGGTGGGGGCGGGGGGGGCCTTCCTGCTCTCCCGCTGTCCTCTTTACAACCCTCTCCCCATCTGGCCGTTTTCTTTCATGCCACAGGGAATCGGCCGCCTGAGGCGGTTTGTCTCCCTCCGCCTGACGGCAGGGATGCGAGTCGCCGACTTGCTTTTTTCTGAGACTCCGAAAGTCATCTTGGGGGGGGTCTCTCCCCCGCCCACCCCACCATAGACTTTTGCACCTCCTTCTGTTCATTTCTGATGGTCCTGATCCATCTTCAAGCTGGACACCTTCCCCACACATCAAAGTGTATCTTCCTTCCTTCCTTCCTTCCTTCCCTTCCCTTCCCTTCATGCTCAAGGGTCCTCACAGTGTAAATGAAGCACCCGAGCCAAAAACAATACAAACGTTTAGCTGCCGGCTTGAGTCAGTCTCTTTCAGCAGCAAATCATAATTGCTTTAGGACTCTCGGAATCCACTTTTGAATTCAAAGCGTCAGACAAATAATTGGATTTCCTGCAAACATGCTGAGCTGTGTTCCTCTCCCTGTCTTCCTTTATGTCCTCGGGGCTCCTGCTTCTGCTTTATATCAAGCTGCACCTAGTAGGCTAATTGGAAGGATGGGTAGATCGCTCTGCCTTAAGATGTCCATCTGTATTAAGAAAAATTTCCTCCCCGGTCTTTATCACTTTCTATGGATATTATTCACATTAGGGCCGGAAAACCAGGAAATCAAGTCAGAATGGCTTTGTAATTTACCCCTAGCCCCAGTGTCTTCTTCCCACAGCCTTCTGATCCACGCCAATTACTTTCCAGCTGACTTATTTTTGACGTTGTAGATGCACTTGATGTATCTCACTGACTGCAGGGCAGCCCTAAATATGCTTTGGGCTATTTGCCTAGACGGCTCTTGCTGCAGGTGAAAGTCAAGCTGAAATATTGTTTTGGTTTGATCTCTGAGCATTTTTAACTGGGTTGTATCAAAGATTAAACTCTTCAACTCGCTCTTCAACTCCCTTGCCACAGTGTCAAATAATCAAAAAGATAATGCATGGATAAAAGGTGTATACTTTTTCAGGATTGTTTTTAATTACTATTAAAAAGTAATGGAGAAATTCTGAGCGCATAGGACAACACACACACACACACACACGTGCGCGTGCACGCACACACAGAGCCATCATCCTCCACTGGCCTCATCCTTTCTGACAAGCACCATCTTCCCTGGGAAAACTCTTTCCGCTGTCAGCTCTTCCCCAGCTCCCCCTGCTGAGGCTGAGGCTGAGTGACCTCTCCAGGCAGGGCCTCAATGATTCATCATCATCATCATCATCACACACACACCCCTTTCCAAAGCCCCCCCACCCCCACCCAGGTGCCAGCGTG